GGGGCCAGCCGTGGATGCCCCGCCGCCCGGCCGGGAGGAGGCGCCCGCGGGGCAGGCCCTGGGCGACGGGGGAAGTCCCGGAGCCAGGGGCGGAGCCCGGGACGCGGAGGTGCTCCTGCAGCCGCCGCTCCCCGCGCCCTACAGGTGGCGCGCTGAAGCCCAGGGCGCAGAAGGGGCAGTGCCACACCCGCCCTGCCCGCCCGGTCCCGACTCCCCAGAGGACACACAGGAGGCGGGTGCGCTTTTTTTTTTTTTTTTTTTTACAAAATGTATTCATCTTCCTTGGAACTGAAAAATAAATCTATGTACAAAACAGGAAGAGTTCAGGTTCCCCTCACCCACTCCCAACCCCCTGCAGATTTCCTCCGGGTCCCCGCAGAAGGGCTGGAGTTCCCCAGAGGGTCGGAATCCCGCTCTGATCTGGGGCCAGTTTCGTCAGGAAAGGGGCGGGGCTCAGGAGTCGCAGGAGGATGGAGCTTTGGGTCCTGAACAGTTGGACGAGGAGGAGACAACGCGTTTCCAAATTCTGGAAGTAGTACAAGATCTTTAGGGATAGGGGCCTGGATGCCCAAGGGATGGAATTCCCAAGTGCGGAAACGAGCCCCTAGGGACTGAGCAGTGTCCTTGTTTTCCCGGCAAGAGGCTTGGGTTGGACCCCAGGCGCCGGGAGTCTCTGAGCTACACCAGGAACCTAGAATTAGCGTCTAGGTTCCACAATGGGGCCTGAGTTTCTAGGGTCTGGGGGATGGCGGGGTTCCAGTGGCAGGCCAGGGGTCTAGGGGACTGGACCTACATCCCAGGGGCCAAGGCAGGGCCTTCGGTTCTGAGCTGGGGGTGAATACAACTTTGGAGTATGGGGTCAGAGTCTGGAGCCTGGGTTTTGGGTAGGAGTGAGGCTTGGTTTGGGCCTTGGCCCTCCGGGGTATGGGATGGCCCTGACCCAGAAGGGGGGGAGGCCTGGATCCCGGGCTGCAGGCGGTGCCCAGCCGGGTGGTTCAGAGGCCCTTCCGCTGCCGCTTCAAGAAGGAGAGCGTGTAGTCGCTGGGTGTGGACACCTTCTGCTTCTTCATCTGCACCTGTGACTGTGCCGTGAGCTGCAGCTTGATGGCACTTGAGTTGATCTTGGTGGCCACCAGCAGCTCCTTCATGCCCTTCATTTTCTCGCTTTGGAACATGAGCACGGGACCCTCCGGCGTTGGTGGCGACCCAGCGGGCGTGGGCGTTGGGGTCGTGCTGCCCCCCTCAGTGCCTCGGGCGGAGCCTGGGCCCGCTGCTGGGGGCCTCCGGGGCGGTCCCGGCACTGTGCCCTGCCCCAAGCCTTGACCCTTGTCCAGTGCCGGCTTCTTGGGTGGAGGTGGCTCCTCGGGCTTGGACTCCCTCCGCGGGCCACGCCTCCGACCTTCCCGGGCATCCTCGCCCCAAGGCTCTTCCGCCTCGGCTGCCTCTGCCTCTCGGCTCACAATGCGAACCTTCTGCCGCACCTGGGTGGGAGGGGCAGGCTGCAGGCCACGGAGGGGACTCCAGGTCCCAGCATCACTGTCCTGTCCTGGGTGTCAGTCTCATCTGTCCCCAAAGAGGATGGGCCACCAAGGTTCTGACTCCCTGGTAGCTCTGCCCCCACCTGCTGTCAGTCCCCTGGAAAACACCCCATGCAAGGGCAGCCCCTCACCTGTCCCTCGAAGCGGCCAAGGGACTGCACGAGGAAGGTGGCCCAGCCCACGTGCAGGACAGGTGTTGGGCTGCCCTCCTCCCACTTGCAGATGCCATCATAGAAGCGCAGCAGGTGGGCGAAGCACTCAGGGTCCTGGAGGGCAGAGCCCTGGGTTGGGGGGCCCTGGGCAAGGGAGAGAGGGCACAGGTCAGACCCCTGACCCTTCACTTAGGCAAAAAGTCTGGGCTCCAGAAAAGGCAGGGCACGCAGAGCACTCCTGTGACCTCTGGGTGGCACAAACGGTTTGCATTCAACTATTAACTGAAAGGCTGGTGGTTCAAACCCACCCATGATGCCTTGGAGCAAAGGCTTGGCAAATGGCTCCTCTAAAGATTACAGCTTCTGGCTGTAATCTCCAGGGAGCAGTTCCACTCCAACACACGGGGTCATGAGTCGGAATCGAGCTGGAAGCAGTGGGTTCCCTTGGCAAAACCCCCATTAGTTAAGACAGAGAAGCGGGTACCATCCCCTTCCTCCAACCAACCCCCCCCATCTGAACAGTGGACCCTGGCATGAAGGGACCGGTCTCTACCTCATTTGTCTGAAGATACAGAGTAAAACCTACTCCTGCTGCCATGAAATTGACTTCAACTCATAGCGACCCTACAGGTACAGGATGAAGCCGAGCTGGCCCATGGGGTTTCCAAGGCTATAAATGTTTACGGAAGAAGACTGCCCCATCTTTCTCCAGTGGAGCAGCAGCTGAGTTCAAACTACCAACCTTTTGTTTAGCAGCTGAATGCCTTAACCACTTCACCACCAGAGCTCCTTGGAAAATATACAGGGTAGCCAAAAACCAAACCAAACCCACTGCTGTAAGTCAACTCTGATGCCTATCGACCCAACTGGGTTTCCGAGGCTGTAATTCTTTGCAGAAGTAGATTGCCCAAGTCTTCTTTCCGAGGAGTGGCTGGTAGGTTTGAACCACCAACCTTCTGGTTAGCAGTCAAATGCCTTAGGCACTGCACCACCAGAGCTCCTCTACCGGTAGAGTACCCTAAAACACCCTCAAACCCAGGGCCAGGTCCTCAGCCACAGGTGGAGGCAGCTTGCCTCATCCCCATATCCTGGGGCTGAGAGCTCTGCTGGAGTGGGAGCCACTCACCTGGTTCTGCTCTCCTGGCCGCTCCTCACCTGCCTCCAGCAGGCTGGCTGCCTCCTTCAGCAGGTTGGGGATGACATCATTAGCTACTTCAAAGAACTCCTTATATATCTCCTCGTCTTCACGGCAGTAGTTGTAGCTGTGAGACCAGTAGGGCATGGTGGGCTGGTGGCCATGGTGAGGAGCCCCCAGTCTAGGGGAGTGACTGGGGTCCTCACTCCTATGTGACCATCTATGGGAGGGGTCAGGCCAGGGGCGGAGTCCCAGCGCTGGCTGAGGGTGGGGAGGAGCAGACAGGAAGGCAGGGAAAGGCTCTCATCAGGACTCCTCCCTCCCAGGCGGAGGTGGGCTTGGTGACTCAGGGACTAGGTGGAGAGAGGGTGAGGGTTTGGGACCTAAGCTTCCCGCCTGGATGAGGGGAGGCAAGGAGGGAGGGCAGGGGGCCCTTGTGGGGGTCCTCACTCCTGGATGACAGTGGCTGTGTCGGCCCAGGCCTGCAGGGCTTCGCGCACATTGCGGTTGCGACAGTGGTAGCCGGCCAGGTACATGTAGGGGTAGATGTGTTCATCCCGGTAGTAGGTCTTGGCTGAAGCAATGCCCTGGGGAGTGGGGCAGCCCCGCCATAAGGTCAAATCCAGAAGGGGCAACAGGAAGAGCCCAGAGACCCGACCTCCTATCCCACCTGCGCTGCCTGCCAGCTCCCCAATCCGGTGTTCTTCACCTGGGTCTGCAGGACTGCTGGCTGAGGCCTGGGCCAGACCGTCAGGGCCCAGGGCGGGGCACTCCCACCAAGGCCTAGGGTGGCAGATGGGTCCCCCTCCCAGGTTCTGCCACATACTCGTCCTACACAAACATGAGGGGTCTACCCAGGCCCTGCCACACACAGGCTTGGGAGCCCAGACACAAGATTACCTAGTCTCCTGTCATCACAGGCCTCAATGATGATGATGCCTCAATACCAGACTGGGACCACACTGGCAGGGGTCACGTCTCCACCCCAATGCCCGCTCCAGAGCCAAGCACACAGTAGGCTCACAAAACGGGGAGTGTGTGGGTGATATCCCAGCACCCAAAAAGCTCCTCCCTGCCTGCCACCCCCTGCCAGGTCCCAGGTAGAAGGGGACCCTAGCCACTGCTGGGGCCACCCCTCTGTACTCTCCAGAGATGCCCCACCTTGTGGTAGAGGGTGAGTGGGTCGGGCCGGCCAGGAGTGGGCTCCAGTTCCTCCAGATCCGCCAGGTTCCCCAGTGCCATGGGGTACCTGGGAAAAGCTCAAATGTTCAGGCTGCCACCTAGTCCTTCCTCCGAAGCCCAGCCTACCCTCTTCCCACTACTGACCTTTCCAGGTGTCCCAGGTCATAGAGCAGCCACAGCAGTTTCTAGGGGGCCGAAGGACCGAGGTATGAACTGGGGGAAGGGCTCCTCAGCCTATCAGGCAGAGGTGGGGTCCAGTACCAGCAGGGACCTCCCGCCAGGTGGGAAGGGCCAGAATTCAGGAACCAGTCAGTCACTGGAGTCAAAGCCCTTTTTGTGTCTCAATTCCACCCTCGCAAGAGCCTGGGAAAGGCCAGCCCGGGGATTATTAACCCCTTTTGCAGCAGGGGACGCTGAGGCTCCGGGAGGGCAAGTGTCCCTGCCTAGGGTGCACAAGTCAGCAGCCCGGCCCAGCCCAGCCCAGCCCTGCACAGCCCCTCACCTGCTGCAGCTGCAGGAGCTCCAGCGAGTCAGTGTGCAGGTCAATGGAAGGGTTGATGGCACACACCATGAAGGCCACCTCCATCTTGCGGTCACAGCGCATGTACGATCCCTTCAGGTACAGCCAGCTCTTGAGAGAGAGTAAGAACCAGATGTCTCACGAAGGCCCACCCCACCTGCGCCTGCAGGGAATGATAGCTGAGAAAGGGTCCCTCCTGCCTTCTCTTCCTGCATATGAGGGTGATGAGGGGAAGAGGGGAGTGTGGCCCAGAAAGTAGAGCCCCTTGGGTGGCTCGGGATAGCAGAGGATAAGCGGGGCAAGGGAGGGGACGTAATACCCGCTCAGCCACGCCCACATTGACCGTCTGGCCCCTGCGATCCTCATTGCCCTTGCCATGCCAGGTGACCTCAGCGGTCTGCTCCCCGTTGGGCCCAAACACAACCCAGGCATGGTCCTCAGACAGGGCCAGGTGGACATCCCGGAGACCCAGGGCCTGGCAGGCCCCCACCACGGCAAAGGCCACACCGGAGCTGTCCAGTTTGGTGCCTGTGGGAGGAAAAGAGTCATGAAACTGAGTGCTCTGTGACTTGGGCTCCCTCCCGCCCCACCACCAAGCCTGCGGCCATCCCTCGGCCACTCCCACCCATCATACCTCTAGCCCTTCCCTCTGTGTGTTCAAAACTGCTCCTTCCCCTTTTCGACCCCACTCCCAAGACTCTCTTGGATTTCTCCAGCTCAACCTAGTCTTTGACTTGTCTCTTCCTTTTTTTCCTAGTCATATATTTCTGTTCACGTAGAGATTTCCCCATTGTCTCGCCCTTATTGGCTTATATAACAGGGACGGCACACCCAGGCCACTCTGACCAATGCTGATGCTCTTTTCCCACATACTCTGGGGCAGATGTTCTTAATTTGTCCACACTCTTGTCCTGGTAGACCCAGAAGCAGCCTCAGACTCCTGCTGAACATGGCATTCCAGGACTTGACTGCCCACCGACTGGGCTTGGCCCAAAGAAAGAGCTTGGCAAGCCCTGACCCCTAAGCTTCCCGGTCTGTTGGTCACTTTTAGACATTTCCATACACATTAGATGTAACGTTCTCAAGTGGAGCCTTATCTTGTTTTCTTCACCCTCAAATCCGCTGCCACCCTCCGTGCCTCATGCCGGGCTGCAGGTCTCCACTGGCGCCCAACGGCAGGCAGGGGAGGTGCTGAGGGGGCAGAAGGTGGGTTACTGCATTTGGCGTCCCAGCCCTGACATTTTGCTGTGTGATTCTGGTACATCCCTTCCCTTCTCTGGGCTTCCGTTTCCCCAACTGCAAAGACAGGAGTTAACACCTGTTCCACCTCACCAGGGTTACAGGCTCAGAAAGGCTCTCTCTGTACACCCTACAGTGCTGGGAAGAGGTGGGCCAGGATCAGGGCCGCTTGCCACCTGCCAGGCTCCAACCTGTGATGAAGCTGAAGAGAGACTGGATGTGGGCTCGGTCCTTGAAGTAGGAGCGGCTGAGGCTGTTCCAGATGACATCCGAAACCTTCTTCACCAGCTCACGGCTGGAGACGCCCCCCTCCCGGGGGTAGAGGGAGAGGTCCACGGCGCCACGGATCTGGGCAGTGAAGCGCGCATACAGGGCAGCGATGATGGACAGGTCGGCCACCGGGAAGTAGGTGAGGCCGCCAGGGGGGTCTGGCGCGGGGCTGGGCTGGAAGGTGAGCTCGGGTACGTTGGTGGGGATGACCCGGTTGACCGCCAGGAAATGCTCCACGAAGCCCAGTACTAAGGACAGGAGCACCAGGTCCGGCTCCTCTCGGCCCAGCTCGGCAGCGAAGAGTCGCACCACGTCGTCGATGGAGCGCAGCGGGAAGAGCGTCTTCTGGGCGGCCTTCAGCCCCATGGCGGCGGGCGGCGGCCTGCGGGCGAGCCCGAGAAGGGAGGGTCGGGCGGGCTCGGCCGGGGAGCCCCTTCCCAGGCTCGTCTCAGGTCTCCCCCACCCTGCACGCACACCCGTCTCCTGCTTCCCCGCCCCCTTCACCTTCTGCTCACCTGCTTCCCCTTTTGGTCGGCGAGACCCCCTCAAGCGAGGCTGCAGGGCCTCCTCGGCCCTACAGCCCCAGGACCCCAGCCCCGACGGGGGTGCGTCCCTAGAACCCCGCTGGGACCTCCAAAGGCCGCCCCGCCCCCTCCCTCGAACCCTGCTCGCCGGCCCCTTGGAGTCTGTCCAAGGGGCGTCCCCAGGCCAACCCCCAAACCCCGAGGAGAGTCCTGGCCTCGGTCCCCCGCGCCCACCTCCGCGCTTACATCCCACACAAGGCACCGCGGCACCCGCGGCCTGGAGCCTGCTGGGAAATAGAGTCCCGTACCTTAGGCCGCGCGGCCTGCCGGGAAGTTGAGTCCTGAGTCTTCTCCCGCCCGTGCCTAGCCTTGAAATGGTAGCCGGGCTGGTCGGTCCGCGGTGGCGTATGGGAGTGGTAGTCCCTCTGCTCTGGGCACTCCAGGGGTAGGTGAGGGGTGGAGGCAGCGCCCGCTTCCTGAGGTCCTCAGGGATTGGTCGTTCCAGTTCATGCGGACCAGGTAGGGAGAGGGCTGCGGTGCGTTCTGGGAGATGTAGTCCGAGTACTAGCCAGGCACTCTCGGGCAGTCAATGAGCTTCTCTGTAAAGTTCTGTTATCAAGTGTCGGCAAGATGTAAGGAAAACGTGCGCTCTCAAACGCTGCTGGAGTGTAAGTGTGTTCAGCCATTTTAATTGTTTTCTTCCCCCATTCTGCCCGGGAGAAAATCTAACACATGCGCAAAGAGGAACAACCGGTGTAGTTACTCGTAACAAGGTAAAAGTTAGGAGTGAAGTAGCCCCATGCTGTCTCGAGTGGGTCTCCAGAGCTTAATATTGAGAGAAAATAATAATAATAAAAAGAACAACAGTATGATATGATAGAATTTATATTGTTGTTGTTGTTATGTGCCGTCGAGTCGGACCCGACTCATAGCGACCCCTCGTTGGGTTTCCGAGGCGGTATCACTACGAAAGTAGATTGCCCCATCTTCCTTCCGAGGAGTGGCTGATGGGTTTGAACCGCAGTCTTTTGGTTAGCAGTCAAGTGCCTTAGGCACTATGCTACCATAAAGCCTCAACACAACACTGACTGGCTTTGCTGACAGATCGGTGTGTGGGTGTGTGTGTGTGAGAGACGGGTCAGAAATGACCCGTGCCTGTGTGCGATGTCTCTTGTCTAGTTGTTGTGGGTGAACTGTCCATACTCCTTGCACTTGTGCAAAAGCTTGATTTGGGCATATCAATTTGGATTCCTAGACCTTTCTTTTTTAAATTTTTATTGTAATTTGGGTGAAAGATTACAGAGCAAATTCATTTTCCATACAGCAGTTCATGCACATTTTATTTCATGACCTTGCCAGTAATTCCCCACTCTCGTCCCACTTCCTCCCTGCAGTTACCTCTTTCCTGTGTCCTTCTTTCCCATGCATTCCTGCCCACCGCACTGTCTCCCTGTGCAAACACTGCCCTTCTGTTCTGCCATGATTGATTATTCTAAGGAGTTTATCTACTTGATGTAAGGGTTCACCCTATACACCTGTCTTTTGTTTGGTTGGAAGCCACAGGAATGAGTGAATTCAGTTCCAGACCTGAAGGGTAACTAGGGGCTATAGTCTCGGGGGTCCCACCAGGCTCTATCAGACCAGTAAGCCTGGTCTTTTTCATGATTTTGAATTTTGTTCCACGTTGCTCTCTTGCTCTATCCAGGATCTCCTGCACTGATCCCTTTCTGAGTGGTTGACAGTGGTAGTCAAGCACCATCTAGTTCTTCTGGTCTCGTGGTCATATAGGCTGAGGTTCACATGGTCCACTAGTCCCTTAGACTAACTGTTTCCATGAGTCTTTGGTTTTTCTTCGTTGCTCTGGACAAGGAGAGACCCATTGTTGCATCTAGATGGCTGCTTGTAAGGTTTTAAGACCCCAGTTGCTTCTCACCAAAGTAGCATGTAGAACAATGTTTTTGTGTAGTATGTTATGCCGATGGAGCTTGATGTCCCCTGTGACCATGTCACCATTGACCCCTGTGTGACTACACATCCAATTATTTGTTCCCTTAGGGTGGTAGACTGTGCCTAAGAAGTTATCATAACTTTGCCCCCTGTTAGTTCTACTTATGTGGACATTCTTACAGCACATATAAATACATATGTAGAAATATCATCTGCCAACCTTATATGGTCATGGGTATATTCCCTTTTGCCTAGACATACTTGATCAGTCAGCCTGTCTCCCCATCTATTTACCCATAGATTAATGTTTGTTATCACTGACAATGCAGTCTTATACATGTAAAGGTACATACGTATATGTTGTCTGTACCTCTCGTGCTCCTCTCTGGGTCTTCTTTTTCCTTAGTGTTGTTGTGCTCGTCACTTGCTTTTGGTGTATTGCCTTTCCTTTCACCCAAATCAGTACTTGCAGACTCCTAGACCTTTGACTGGAGATGCTGACTACAACTCCTAGAGTCCAGAGTACAGAATCCAGGAAGAAGCCTTGCTAGGCTCATCACTTTATAGAATTAAAACATGAGCCTGCAAGAGATGCCCAAGGACTGAATTCTGGGGCAGTCCCTCATGTAAGGAGACCTGACACAGCAGTTAAAGCACTGAGTTGCTAAGGGAAAGGTTGGTGGTTTGAACCCACCAGTCACTCTCTGGGAAAAAGATGTGGCAGGCTGCTTCTGTAAAGATTTACCGTGTTGGAAGCCCTATGGGGGCAGCTCTACCCTGTCCTATAGGGTCACTATGAGTTGGAATCGACTCAATGGCATGTTCCCTCCTGCAGAGGTTGGGGAGACCAGGAAGCATCAGCGCAGGAGTTTGAGAAAGACAGGTCAGGGTGCTAGGCGGAAAAGTGGACAAGAGTGGTGTCTTCGAGAGGAATGAGCACGTGTCAGGCCAGGACTGGAGTACCCAGTAAGCAGGGTAAGCACAGGCTTACTCACCTATAGGGAACAGTTTAGTGGAAACTAAACTACAGATCAGTAAGTAAGCACCAGTTAGCCCGGACTTACCTTGCTTACTGGGTAATGTGACACTGGTCCTGGCTGAGGAGAGAGCGAGGGTATCAGATGCTGCTGAGAGGTCAAGCCAGTTAAGGACCAGAACTGACCAGCAGATTGAGCTCGGTGACCTTAATGCGGTTTGGGAGAAAAGCCCAATGGGCTTGGGCCAAAGGAACATGAGAGGAAGGAAACTGGAACCAGTGATGTTAGACAACTCTGTCAAAGAGCTTTGCTGCAGAGGGAAGGGGGGAAGTGCGATGGTGGCTGTGGGGGGAGGAAGGTCAAGAGAAGGTCGTGTTATTGGTGAAGAGGAGAGATTTGCTGGAGTGATGGCCTTGAGTGGGAGAGGGGCTGGGAGTTCCCAGCGGAGGGTGGCCTTTGCTGGGACCATGGACAGCTTGTCCACAATAACTGAAGTGAAGGAGCATGCATGGCACAGGGCAGGTCCTTCCGTTCTCTCAAGTGAAGCAAGAAGACTTGTTATCTTCTCTTCTTCCCACGTCACCTTCTCAGTGAAGCTGCCCCAGACCAGGCCATGGTACTTAAAGTCACACCCCCAGCCCGAAAGGACTCCCAGCGTCTCTCGTGCTTCTCGATTCTTTCTTCCAAGGATTAACGCCTTCTAACGCAGGGTTTCTTGACCTTAGCGGTGTGGACGTTTATCGCTGTCGATTCATGCAGAGCCACGTGTCAGTAGAAACGTGCACTACAGGATTTTCAATGGCTGAGTTTTCAGCTGGCCATTACCAGGCCTTTCTTTCTGGGTGGTCTTGAACCTCCAGTCTTTCACTTAAGAGTTAGGTGCATCAACAGTTTGCACCACCCTGGACTCCTATTGACATTGCCAAAAGCAAACCAAAATCACGACCATTGAGTCAGTTCCAACTCATAGCAACCCCTATTGAGTTTCCAAGGCTGTAAATCTTCACAAAAGCACACTACGTCATGTTTTCTTCTGTGGAGCAGCTGGTAGTTTAGCACTAGTGACCTTTTGGTAGCAGCCAAATGTATTAACCCCTACACCACCAAAGCTCCTTCTGTTGACATTTGTTGTTGTTGTTGTTATGTGCCGTCAAAGTCGGACCTGACTCATAGCAACATTTAGGGGCTTGCTAATTATTTGTTGAAGGAGCCCTGGTGGTATATTTGGCTGCTAATCAGAAGGTCAGCAGTTCAAATCTTCCAACTGCTCTGTGGGAAGGAGATGAGGCAATCTACTTCTTTAAAGTTTTACATCATTGGAAACCCAATAGGGTCACTATGAGTTGGAACTGACTTGATGGCAGTTGTTTTTATTATTCTTAATATTATTATTTTAAATTCTGTGTTGTGGGGGCTGCCTTGTGCATTATGGGATGTTCAGCAGAATCCTTGGCTTCTATCCACTAGAGGGAGCCCCCCTCCCTCAGTTGTGACAATCAAAAATGTCTCCAGAATTTGTCAAATGTCCCTTGGAGGACATCACTTCCCCCAAATGGGAACCACTATTTGAGCAGATGATAATTTGCCAATTTATTTATTGTTTATCTCCTGGCACCAAGATATAAGCTCCACGAGTGCAGGCAGTTTGCTTGCTCATTGATGTCTCCCATGTGCCTAGATTGGGAGCTCTGGTAGCATAGTGGCTAAGGCACTTGACTGCTAACCGGAAGTCTGGCGGTTCAAACCCACCAGCCACTCCTCGGAAGGAAGGTTGGGCAATCCTACTTCTGTACTGATACTGCCTCGGAAACCCAATGAGGGGTCGCTATGAGTCAGGGCTGACTCGACGGCACATAACAACAACAACAACAATGTGCTTAGATTACAGGCCCATAGTACGTGTTCAATAAATATTCACTGAATAAAGAAATACATTC